CGCGGGCCGGCCCGGGCTGGGCCCACAGCTTGGATTTCTAGGAGCAGAAGCAGCCTTGGGCCGCGCGGCTGCGGGAGGAGTTGGGCGCACACATTTTGGAACATGTTTCCAATTCCCAGGGTTAGCTACGTTGTTAAGATCAGTCTCCGCGAGATGCTGTGCGGAAAGACAGAGGGGCCGGCACGGAGCTCCGGGCAAAGCTTAAACCCAGGGCTGCAGGGAGGAAGGGAGGGAGGAGAGAGAAAGAGGAAAGCATAGCTCTCTCTGTGTTCCGAAGTTCACAGTTCTCTAGGCTCATCTCCTTTGCTACGGAGCTAATGCCTTGTATTTTGTTCTTTGGGTTTTTGAGACAGGGTCTCGCTATGTATCCCAGAACGGACTCGAACTCAGGGCAAACCTCCTGCCTCAGCCTCCTGAGTGCTGAGAGTCCAAGCATGCGCCACCAGGCCTGGTGTAGAGGACGTAGGGGGAGCTCTTTCTGAAGCTCTTGGCTGTTGCTGCAGAACATTCCTGAGAAGGCCTAGATCAGTGGTGGCGGAACTTCCAGCGGTAGATGCCAGCTACACCGACTTCTAAGATGAAGGTTTTACTTAGTTTTTAATATTTATTGATTTGTTTTTTTTGAGGTAGGGTCTTACTATGCAGCTCAGGCTGGCCTCGAACTCATGACGGTCCCTTTGCCGCAGCCTCTGGAGTGCTGGAACTGCAGGTGTGCACCACCACGCGGCGCACTTTCATCTGACTTTAGTGTGATCGAACCGCGCCAGCTCTTCTGCGTGTCTCCAGTGGCTCCATTTTACTGTATTTTTGCCGGTGTTTTCTGCAGAAGGAGAAGAGTGCTACACGGGACAGCCTGGATATGGGGCTTCGTGGCGGTCAGGGAGGCCCTGTGAGCCGCTTCCGGCCTCCTGGAAGATGTTGAGACTCGGGATGCCAGACAAGAAGAGGGAACACAGGTGGGGCTGAGGCTGCAGCTGGGCTGGGGCACCGCCCCGAGCAAGCCCAGAGCCCTCGGTTCAATCCCTGGCCAACAAAACAAAACAAAACAACAAACAGTCCCAGCTACGGACACTTCTGGGTTTCTTGCTTTTCCCAGCAACCCAGAGAGAGGAGGAAGCAGCTGAACCCGAAAGTCTGGCTGACCTGGACCCCCCGGGGGGCATGGGCGGAGCCAGCGGCGGTGACTGGGTCAGGGCCGTAAAAGCCAGGCGGGCTTCAGGGGACGCGCGTTTATGAGGCCAGGGCTCACAATGTCCTGGGTGGCGCCCTGGCTGCAGGCAGACGGAGATCAAGGCCCGGGTGACCTGAAGGTGGCTTGGGGTGCGGCCCGTCCTGAAGGCCCTGACCAGGCCCAGGGAGCCAGGAGCCACAGACCCAGCACAGCACTCTGGTACTGTGCTAGGTGAGCGCCTGCCACTGCCTCGGTTTCCTCAGAGCAGCCTGGAACACTCATCACTGGCTCTGGCTCCACCCCCAGGACACCAAGGCCACTCAGAGACCTGAAATCCCCCCCCATGGTTTTATTTTCCTCCATAGCACAGGCAGGCACCATGACAAACTTCTATTTCTGGGCTTGTTTTCTGTCTCTCCTATTAGAATTCAACATCTGTTATGGGCAAGGTTTTGCCACGCGTGTTGGCACACACCTGTCATCCCACCCTGGAGGCTGAGGCAGGAAGGTTGCCAAACTGAACTACATGGCAAAACTCTCAACGAAATGAAAACAGCAGAGCTTCGTTTAGTTTGTCTCCTCTTCCCAGGCTCGACGTGCGGTGCCTGGCACAGGATGGGTAAACCCCTAAGATTTCTGACCCTACGAGCCAGGTAGAATGCCACTGCTTTGCTGCTGACAACGTGAAGGCCTCGATAGAAAGTCTGTCCAGTTATAGCCTGGTCACTAATGGGTGACCTCACTGCAGTCAGGGGAGGTCACAAAGCAATCCCAGCACTCGGGAGGCTGAGGCAGGAAGTTCCCTGGGAGTTTGAGGCCAGCCTGGGCTACATAGCAAAACCTTGCTTCAAAAAAGAAAACAACAACAACAACAACAATGACAATATATTCTCCTTTCCTTCCCTCGGACATATTTGGTATCTGAAAAAGTTGACTCAGTCGGCCTCTCTGCAGCACTACTGGAGGTAACCACCGCACCTTGAGCACTCACAACCCTGACCCATTTCTGTCTCAGTCTCAGCTTGTGGGGACGCCTGCCCTACAGCAGGAAAAGAATCTCCCGGCCCTGAGTCCGTCCGTCGTCCCCGCCAGCAGGAGCGCAACCCTGACGGAGGCAGGGACTTTGAACCCGCGTCTCACAGAGAGGACAGGGGAGTCCTTGCCTGCTACGCCTGACCTCCCGCCCTCCGTGACTTTGTCGCCAAGGCTGGGCAACCCGGGCCCGCCCCACCCTGGGCCTGGACTGCTGAGCTGGGCCATCCTGGCGTCTGCACGGTGTGAGCAGAGCGGGGTGCAGGGGCCGCTCCTGCCCTCCAGCTCCAGAGGTTTGGCTCTTCCAGCTCGGACGCCTCTGGGGAGGAGGAGAAAGTGGGCCTGACACTGGCAGAAGAGGGTGGGAGTCAGGACGGCAGCTCTAAGCCAGGCGCGAGGATGCACACTTGTCATCTCTGCACTCTGGAGGCTGAGGCAGGAGGACCACAGGTGCCAACCCAGCCTGGAGAGTTTATGGACTTACACACACCATCTCAAAAGAAAAAAGAAAAGGGGCTGAAAGCCATGCTCCTCAGTTTAATCTCCATGGAGAGAGAGAGAGAGCACGCCAGACTCCAGGAAAAGATAGGACTTAGACCCAACACTGCCCCGGCACTCTGCTTCACTCCTACCACCCCAGCTGCTAGGCCACCACCACAAATACACGCTCTTTAGCCAAGAGTGGGTGCACACACCTGTAATCCCAGTATTCAGGAGGCTGAGGCAGGAAGATCCCCAAGAGCTCAAGGCCAGCTTGAACTAGTAAGCAAGACCTGTCTCCAAACGAGAAATGTGCACTTTCTGTCTGCCCTCACCCTGGATTCTCACAGGACCTCCTCAGAGACAGCAGGTTTCAGCACAAACACAAATGCATGCACTCATGAGAAAAGCACCTAGCCGCTCTGGAAACCAACACATGGGAATTCAAGCCCACAAACCTCGAGAGCGTTTTTCAGTGACGGAGGGATATGGCCAGGAGATTTTTAGAAGTGCCCCTTTCTGTCCTATTCAGCGCAGTTCTTTGGATACAGTGCAGAAGGAGAAGGAACTCCATTTAAGGTTAAAACGAACAGGAACACCGACAAAACCACTGGATCGCGCATTTCAAAACCCGGCCATGCCTATGTAGATGAACGCTGCCTTTCACTCATCCCGGTTTGCAGACGACAGGCTTCTCTTACCTTGGGATGTTTTGGGACCAGCACTTGGGAACGATCAGTGCGGAAGGCAGGAGCAGGCACACTTGGTGTGGGGCCGGGCGAGCAGAAGCTGGAGAGAAGGAAAGGGGTAGCGTGAGCACCGAGCACTGGGAGGTGAGGTAATCTCTGTTCCGCTCTGCACTTCTGAGGCCAGACTGAACTTGCCTGGAACTGACGTAGCACCAGACCGGAAGCTGCCCAGGCTGACTACAGACAGAGTTCATTTCCCTCCCAGCAGGAACACTGCAGAAAGATCGCCGCGACGCGGGGTCCTTCCCAGGGCTGGCTGGAGTGTGAGGGGACACAGTCCGTGTGCACGGCCGTCTTACTAAATCCCCAGAGCTGCATTTTGAAACCACTGGACAGCAAAGTTTGGGATCAGCAACTGTGGGCCTCCTTTCTCTCATCTTAACTTTGCTACCTGGCGAGACCCCGCCACAAAGTAAATAAATAAATGAATAAAAAAGCTGTGGACATAGCTCAGCTCGAGGCCTGGGTTCAATTCCAGTACAAAACAAAACAAAACATTAAAGTAGGTCCTTGCCGGGATTTTTTGTTTTTGGTTGCCAGGGATCAAAATCAGGACCTTGCACTTGCAAGGCAGGCGTGGTGCCACTGAGCTAAATTCAAAACGTTAAGGTAGGAAAATATGTTAAAAGGCGACCAAATGCAACACCTTCCCTCTAGTGAAAAGGTGAAGACGAAGGCCCACAGAGCAAGATCCTCTGACTGCAGAGAGGGCCGCCAGTGTGCACACTGATTCCGGAGAAACTCAGTAGGGGTGGGGGTGGGGTGCGTGTGTCGGCGGTGTGAGTCCTAGGACCCGAGCGGGCTGGTTCTGAGCCCGGCGCTAGCTCACGCTCGTGTGCGCACTTGCTGCTGCTCTGAGACAGCTGTTTTACGAAGCAATCCCACTACCGGTGTTTTTTCTGTCACCTTCCCTTTGCAGCATGTTTATGCTCCCGTGTGAGCGCTCCACAGGCATAACTCACCTTCACTCCTTGGTCATCCCCTCCTCCCTCCCTCTCTCCAGGTTTCCCTCCCATTTGTTCTTTGTGTTTTGGGTGGTTTGTTTCAGACAGGGTCTTGCTTTGCAGTTCGGGCTGGCCTCGAATTCACGGAGATCCTCCTGCCTCAGCCTCCCGAGTGCTGGGATGACAGGCACACACCATCACATCTGTCTCCCTTCCTATTTGAGAAGGATCTATCTCTTTACTTATTGTCTCTTTTATTTTACTCTTTATTTATAATTTGGGTCTCATATAAGAAAAAGCCATGTGATATATGAGCTTGTGTGCGATTTTTTCCACTCAGCATTACGGTCTCCAAATGCATCCATTTTCCTACAGGTGATTCCAGCTCATCCTTCTTTGTGGCAGAGTAGTGCCCCACTGCGTACAAATACATTTTCTTTATCTGTTCATCCATTGATGGGCATAGAGGCTGCTTCCAAGATTACAAATTATTGTGAGTTATGCTGCTGTAAACATAGGTGTGTTTCCATCGCTCTAACCTGACATCTTTTAACTCTTTCAAGAAGATACCTAGAAGGAGACTAGCCGGGTTGAGCGGAATTTCCGGTTTTGGTGTCCTGAGGAATCTCCATAGCTGTTGAACCAGTTTGCACAAAACCCTGCAGGTGGTGCGGTGAGGTCCAGGAATGGAGCAAGTTTCAGACTGCACAAGGAGCAGCTCTTCCTCCAGGACGTCCAAGCCAGACAGCCGCGGGACCTCGCTGGAGGGGATGTGGATCGGCAGCTCCGTGCTCAGCTCTCAGCTGTGCCTACTTTGTTCACCTTCAAACCTTTGGGGTACAGGGGGCCTGAGGTGGGGTCTTGCTGAGTA